ATACAGGTCCTAAAACAGAGCCTTGTGGAACACCATATTTTACTTTTGTGAGAACAGATGATTCACCGTTTATATTAACAAACTGATACCGATCAGTGAGGTAGGACCGGAACCAGGAAAGAGCTGTTCCTGTTACCCCTACAAGGTTTTCTAGTCTGTCTAGTAAGATAGTGTGGTCTATTGTGTCAAATGCCGCACTAAGATCGAGGAGGACTAACAAGGACACATGATCTTGGTCAGAAAATAATAATAGATCATTTACAATTTTTACTAGTGCTGTTTCTGTACTATGATGTGGCCTAAAACCAGATTGGAATTTTTCATGTATTTGATTCCTATGTAAAAAGGAGCTTAACTGTTTTGCTACAACTTTTTCCAAGATCTTAGATATAAAGGGGAGATTTGAGATAGGTCTATAATTTGAGCAGTGTTGCTGGAGTTTTTAAACACCGTGTCCACTCACTGTCCACGCTATTAGACACTCCTACCTTGTCAGTCCACCTTGTAGATGTAAAGTCAGAGACGATAGCTCATCTGCTGCTGCACAGTTTGTGTTGGTCATCCTCTAGTCCTTCATCAGTGGTCACAGGACGCTGCCCACAGGACGCTGTTGGCTGGATATTTTTGGTTGGTGGACTATTCTCAGTCCAGCAGTGACACTGAGGTGTTTAAAAACTCCAGCAGCACTGCTGTGTCTGATCCACTCAGACCAGCGCAACACACACTAACACACCACCACCACATCAGTGTTACTGCAGTGCTGAGAATGATCCACCACCCAAATAGTACCTGCTCTGTGAGGGTCCATGGGGGTCCTGAGCCCTGAAGAACAGGGTAAAAGGGGGCTAACAAAGTATGCAGAGAAACAGATGGACTACCACACAGAAAGTTGTTACATGAAATGGTTACAAATACATTTTCGTATGCCTGAGATGTTGTTTCACGATAGTTTATAAATAAAACTTTGCCCTAAAATGTATTTTTATAGTGGAGAGATACATGCAAAACAGCCCCCAAATAAAACATATTATTTTGGATTTACCTGTTTTACCATAATCATTACATACAGTACATGTACATTCACTGGTCAATTTGGTAAATAAAATGGCTGTAGTTGTGTTGTAGACAGGCGCCCTATGGTTCCAATCACCACCACTGTAAAGAAATCTGAACAGGGGAATTTTAATGCAGCATTTCACATCAAACAACTCTGGATGACTTGTTGTCTGATTTATTCACATTTTTTTGACTGGAGATAGATTGGTTTATGAAAGTCTCAGCATGATGTGAACCTGAAATTCTTTATTCACTTATTTATTCCACTTACTAATTTTTTTGGGGATCTGTGCTGAGTTCAGCTCACTGATCTGCTAATGATAGAGCACACTGGAACATCAGCACTCCCTGGTGGTGAAAACAGAAAGCACAAAACATGAACAGAAAGTAGGCCTGGTTTAGATAACCCATTATAATGTTTTAGAATTCATCTTCTACAGGAAACAAACTTAAACACTGCATATTTCTACAAATTTTTAGTGCACAATTTCTAGTTAGTATCTCTATTTATATGTTTAACATATAAGAAAAAAAAATAATAATAAATAAAATGTGTGCCAAAACTTTTGCACAGGCCACATTTTTTTTTATTTATTTTTGCCCAATATGTCAAGTTCAGCAAATGAACAATAATGGTGAATTAAAATGTTCAGAAGTGTGTTTTCTGTAGAGAGTGTGTTTATGGTCACTTAGAAAATCAACAAAATGTGTCATTTGACTAGTGTCACCCAAACGTTTGCATATGACTGTATACACCGATCAGTCATAGCATTATGACCACCTCCTTGTTTCTACGTTCATTGTCCATTTTATCAGCTCCACTTACTACATAGGTGCACTTTGTAGTTCTACAGTTACAGACTGTAGTCCATCTGTTTCTCTGCATACTCTCTTACTATTTGGGTGGTGGATCATTTTCAGCACTGCAGTGACACTGACGTGGTGGTGGTGTGTTAGTGTGTGTTGTGCTGGTCCGAGTGGAGTTTTTAACACCTCAGTGTCACTGCTGGACTGAGAATAGTCCACCAACCAAAAATATCTAGCCAACAGCGTCCTGTGGGCAGCGTCCTGTGACCACTGATGAAGGACTAGAGGATGACCAATACAAACTGTGCAGCAGCAGATGAGCTATCGTCTCTGACTTTACATCTACAAGGTGGACCGACAAGGTAGGAGTGTCTAATAGAGTGGACAGTGAGTGGACACAGTGTTTAAAAACTCCAGTATCACTGCTGTGTCTGATCCACCAGACCAGCGCAGCACACACTAACACACCACCACCACGTCAGTGTTACTGCAGTGCTGAGAATGATCCACCACCCAAATAGTACCTGCTCTGTGAGGGTCCATGGGGGTCCTGACCACTGAAAAACAGGGTAAAAGGGGGCTAACAAAGTATCAGAGAAACAGATGGACTACAGTCTGTAACTGTAGAACTACAAAGTGCACCTATATAGTAAGTGGAGCTGACAAAATGGACAATGAGCATAGAAACAAGGAGGTGGTTATAATGTTATGCCTGATCAGTGTATAGTAGATATATAGAACTGTGACAACTCAAATAACTTTTATCTCTATGATGTAAAGGTGCTGTACATTGTCTCCTAAAAGAAAAGAATAAAAATGTTCTAAATAGCACCGGTTCTACTAATGCTACAAGTAATAGAATCTTTTTAGTACTATACAGAACGCTTTTTGCTAAGAGTGCTAACGCTAGGCCATTTGAGTTTATTGACTAAAAATTAGCAGTTTAAAAGAATAATAACGTTCTTACAACTTTATCAATATAGTCTCATAAAAAGTATATGTTCCCTCCTTATTTGGTCTACTTTTGCATTATTTGTCATATTAAATGGTTTAAGACCCTCAGACAAGGACAACACAAACAGTTTTTAAATGATCGTTTCATTTATTGAAGGAAACATGAAAAAGTAACTGATCTTCTAAGTTTAATAACTGCTTGTGCCACCTTTAGCATCAGCAAGTGCAACCAATTGCCACTGCATCTCAGTGGGGTTCAGGACTTTAACTAGCCCCCTCCAAAACAAATATTCAGAGGCGGATTTACTCTTTGCTTTGGATCATTGTCTCGCAGCATAACTCAACTGTGCTTAAGCTTCAGATCACAGACTGATGACCAGACATTCTCCTTCTGAATTTCTGGTACAGAGCAGAATTCATGGCCCCTCAGTTACATCAAGTCATGGAGGACCTGAAGCAGCAAGGCACCCCCACACCATCACACTACCACCACCATGTTTCACTGTTGGTTTTTAATTCCTATTGTGGAATGCTGTGTAAGCTTTATGCTAGATATAATAGGTAATCTATTATGCAAAACATTTTGATCATCAGGCCACAAAACATTTTTCTAAAAAGCTTGTGGGCCATCAAGGTGTTTTTTTGGCAAATGTGAGACGAGGCTTTGTGTTCTTCTTGGTTAGCAGTGATTTTTTGTTTGCAACTGTCCTATGGATACCATTTTTGCTCAGTCTCTTCCTAATGGTGGAATCATTAATGTTGACCTCATCTGAAGCGCAGACTGTAGTTCCTTAGACGTTCTTCTGGTTTCTTTCATGACTTCTAGGATGAGTCATCACTGTGCTGTTTGGTAGGCTGGGTACTTCTTGGAAGCTTCACCACTGTTCCAAGTTTTCTCCATTTCTCAGTGTGGTTAACCAAAGTCCCAAAGCCTTAGAAAAGGCTATGTAACCCTTTCCAGATTAACATATCCCAATAACTTCCTTTCTCATCTCCAGAATTTCAGAATTTCAGAATTTCTTCTGATTGTCATTGTGTACTGCTTGTTGAGACCTTTTAGCTTCACAACTTCACATTGGTGGAAAGGTTTTCTTGAGTAGTGTTTAGATTCCACAGGGCTGGCAGGAATCAAGCCTGAGTGTGTCTAGTTTATTTGATCCCAATTATCAATTCAGTTTGATTAATTTGTGGATAAGGGCACAATTACTTATTCACAGGGTGCCAGTTGGCGTTAGATAACTTTTGTCCTTCAATAAATGGAATGATCACTTAAAAACTATGCAACCATTCTCATGGCTGACTTATATTACATTTTCTAAATTTCTAAATAAAGATCTGAAACAATTAAGTGGGAAAAATATGCAAAAATAGAAATCAATAGGAGAGCAAACATTTTCCAAATTGCTTACATTTGCAAGCCTCCTTTATTATCTCATAAGCTCTGCCAATAGTTTAATTAATAGTATAAATCACCTGCTAGTTTTCTGAGACATGAGATATTTTTTAGTATTCTTCTCAGGCATAAAGATGATGATGTAACATTTGGGGGCAAATATACACAGAAGTACCCCAAAACTAGAGGCTAAAATAGCAAATATCTCCACTGCTACAGTGAACTTTCCAGGAGAGCTGACATAAGCTGGGATATAAGCGATCCAAACTGCACAGAATATGATCATGCTGAATGTGATAAACTTGGCTTCATTAAAGTTATTGGGAAGCTTCCGAGCCAGAAAGGCCAGGATAAAACAAAAGGCAGCGAGACAGCCGATGTAGCCGAGCACACAGCAGAACAGAGCCAAGGAACCCAGGTGGCATTCTAGAATGATCCGGTCACGGTACAGCCAGGTGTTCTTCACTGGATGAGGCGGAGCCGTGGTTAGCCAAGCCACACAGATTGCACACTGTAGGGCGGAGCACAGGAACACGCCCAGACGCTGCTGTGGGGGGCGGAACCACTGAGCTGCGTTGTTACCAGGCAGTGTGGCCCTGAAGGCCATTAGCACCACCAGAGTCTTGCTCAGCAGGCAGGAGAGACAGAGGGCAAAGGTCAGGCCAAAGGCAGTGCGTCTGAGCTGGCAGGCCCAGCGGGTCGGCTGGCCCAGGAAGGTGAGCGCGCATAAGAAGCAGAAGGTGAGCGACAGCAGCAGCAGGAAGCTCAGCTCTGAGTTGTTGGCGCGGACCAGCGGTGTGTCTCGGTGACGCAGGAAAATGGCAGCCACCGTCACGGTAGCGACGACACCCAGGATGGCTGTGGCTGCGAGGGCCATTCCGAAACCCTCGGTGTAGGACAGAAACTCGATCTGCTTGTCAATACAACTGTCACGTTGTGGGTTGGACCAGAGGTCTTCAGGGCAGAACTTACACTCAGACTGGTCTGAGGACAAAGACAGGACAACAACATAGTGAAGGGCAGCAGTGGTGTCACTAGGATCTTACATGCCCCAGTGCAAAAATAATTAAAGGGCCCCTCAATATAAAAATTATCTTCAATTAATAAAACAAATGTCCACATAAATAGCTTAACATAGCATTTTCTCAGATGCTTCAGACACAGTAGTGTGTATATATTAGGATATTGTGGTTTATTTACAAAAAGAAATGATTCCAAACTGTTAAACTGCATATCTGTATTAACCCTCCAGGGTCGAGAAATGCGTCAGCACATCAAATTTGATGTTTCTCAGTGTTTCTATTAATATCTTTGTGACAATACTGCACAGAAATATGGTTCAAACAGTTCCTAAATCTGTAGTCGTCCTTTCCATTGCATCACATTGTGATGTCAGACATGACTCACATCTGGAGTTATGAGCAAATGAAGACAAGTTGGGACACTCACTATCTGCCTTTCACTGTGTGCAACTGGTAGATTTGTGTGTCCGTCATCTGCCTCTCGCCTTTAATGGTAATAATTGGTGGATTCATGTGTCTGTCTATATTTTGCACGAAACTGACCAATGGACACTCAGGAAATAACTAAGGATTTACACATCATGTTGAAACACTTTTCATTCATTTGCCTTGGACACAGATGCAAGTGGTGTGTAAAAAGTTAGCAGCCGCTTAGGTTGCAGCAGTAGTTTTGGAAAATATCAATGAGAATCTCCTATTTTATTCATACATTCCACTACTTTTGTGAACCTAAGACTTTGGTAAACTAGTTTCAAGCACCAAAACAATTTGTCCACATGAGTAAAGCTAAAGATATTAAGATTTTCTAAAACTGGATTTGATTTTTTCAGCTTGGAGGCCCATATGTGGGCATCATGTTGTATGCAAGCGCCTTTAAAGGCAAAGTTAAGAATATATGCAAAAAAATGCCCCCAGACCCTAGAAGGTTAAGCAATACCAAATAGCATCACTAACTATGATATCCATCCATGACAGACACACTATAATCAGCTCAGTCACTTAAACATTCCAGTGGAAATAATGCACCATTCCATATGATATTTGAAATTTTCGGATGAAAATTTCGGGTGAAATTTAGTTCTGTGATGTCTTTAATTGGTCTGAGCACAAACTACAAATGTAAGTATACACTGATCAGGCATAACATTATGCCCACCTCCTTGTTTCTACGCTCATTGTCCATTTTATCAGCTCCACTTACTATATAGGTGCACTTTGTAGTTCTACAGTTACAGACTGTAGTCCATCTGTTTCTCTGATACTTTGTTAGCCCCCTTTTACCCTGTTCTTTAGTGGTCAGGACCCCATGGACCCTCACAGAGCAGGTAGTATTTGGGTGGTGGATCATTCTCAGCACTGCAGTAACACTGATGTGGTGGTGGTGTGTTAGTGTGTGTTGTGCTGGTACGAGTGGATCAGACAGAGCAGTGCTGCTGGAGTTTTTAAAAACTGTGTCCACTCTATTAGACGCACCTGTGTTGTTGGTCCACCCTGTAGATGTAAAACCAGAGACAGTAGCTCATCCCTTGCTGTACAGTATGAGCTCATCTGCTGCTGCACAGTTTGTGTTGGTCATCCTCTAGTCCTTCATCAGTGGTCACAGGACGCTGCCCACAGGACGCTGTTGGCTGGATATTTTTGGTTGGTGGACTATTCTGAATCCAGCAGTGACACTGAGGTGTTTAAAAACTCCAGCAGCACTGCTGTGTCTGATCTACTCAGACCAGCGCAACACACACTAACACACCACCACCACATCAGTGTTACTGCGGTGCTGAGAATGATCCACCACCCAAATAGTGCCTGCTCTGTGAGGGTCCATGGGGGTCCTGACCACTGAAGAACAGGGTGAAAGGGGGCTAACAAAGTATCAGAGAAACAGATGGACTACAGTCTGTAACTGTAGAACTACAAAGTGCACCTATATAATAAGTGGAGCTGATAAAATGGACAATGAGCGTAGAAACAAGGAGGTGGTCCTGATGTTATGCCTGAGTGGTGTATATGCACACAACGGCTCCACACATTTAAAGATGCCTCAAAGTAATTACACATTAGTTGAATAAGTTGGGGCAGGTAAGAAACACTAAATTGAAATTGTGCAGTATAGAGGTTCTCTAGGATGTGGCTGCATACCTAGGCTGTTGCTGATGGTGCCTTCAGCACAGGGCACACAGTCGTAGCAGCAGACAGGCTCGCCTTTACGTGTTGCTTTCCTGTAGCCTGGCAGGCAGCTAGGTGAACACACCGACACTGGCACCTGGGAGCAGGAAAGGGAAACGAAATGAGGAGGAGAAAGTGACACAGACATAGTGAGAGAGAAAGAGAGACAGTGAGCTACAGAGGGGGGGACACTAACACCTTGGGCCTATTATTTAGTAAATAAGCCTAATACTATTATTCAATCTACTATAAATGTTTCAATAACTACTGAACTAAACTAATGTGTACAAATGTGAGGATATTATTATTCAATGTAATCGTGTTTGCTAGCTGCTATGTTAGTTCTCTGGCTAAATGCAGCTAAATTTGAGCCACATCCTTGGGTTTGTTCTGGCCCACTATACAACAGTGTCCTCAGCCCTGACCTGGCCCACACACTCTGAAAGGAGTAGAACTTACAAATGTGGCCCAAATCTGACCCAACTACATCGTTGGTCATTCACGCTAGAATTGGCCCACAAATATTGACCCAAGGCAAATCTGCATACAGCTGTGCGGCATCTGGCCATATTCTGGCCCACATGCCTCACACCTGTCCAGTAATCAACCAACTCTCATGTATGAAAGCTAGAATCAGCCCAGAACTGTCTGCTATCTGGTAACAAAATTGGAGTTAGTGCTCCACTCCAGGCTTGTTGAGCCAGACTTCATGTTACTGGCTTGATAGCGCTGTGTGACAGCAGATGACCTGGTTAGCCAGTTAGCAAATTTTGTCTGGCCTACTTGAGGACCACATCCTTGGTTTGCTCTGGCCCAGTATACGGCTGGGTCCTTGCCCCAGATCTGACCCACACGCTAAATTTGGCCCCACTCTGGCCCAACTACATTGTTGGCCCACAACATTCATGCCAGAATTTCCCACACTTATAGACACAAGGCAAAACTGTATGAAGCTGTCCGTATGGATCTGGCCCACATGCCCAGTAGTAAGCCAACTATCTGGGAAGAAGAATTGGCTATGATTATACTGGGTGGGAAAATGGGGTAAAAACACAACTGGTAAAACACATTGGGTCAAAAAAAAATGTTTAATTATCCTAAATGAGTCAATAATTGCAACCAAGCAGTAATGTGCAATAATGTCACCTCTCTGGATCCCCCATGCCAAACAATGCTGTCCTGGTAGAGCACAAGCTGCTGCTCGGTTGGAAGAGAGGAGTCAAAGCGTCCAACTGTAACAAACTGCAGTGGACCGCCCTCCGTTCTGTTCTGCCAGTTTACAATATCATACGACGCAACAGGATCTCCATACTCATCAAAATACACAGTGTCTCCAAACACATTGGTGTAGTTCACCTCCTTCAGGTACTGTATCACCTACAAAAAGAGAAGAAGAAATTTGCACTATAGCACATTCATGCCCAATTTTAAAAAGTACACCGTACAATTTTAAATCAGGGAAAATGGAAATCATGATCATTTTAATGGAGAAAAGTATCTATTCTTAAAAAGAACTGATGATTCAAATGTGTACATCAATTCTACTTAGAACAACAGAGTTATTGCCATGAGTAAGTAAACTTACTAGATGTAATTGTGTTCATATGATATGTTTCATTCATAAGTAAATATATCTGTACATCTGAATTCATTTCAAACACAGTGCTGTGCAAAAGCTTTCATTCATTTAGTTTTCAGTCAAAAAATACAAGCTATTCATTTTTCAGGAGATGTTTCTGATGAGATTAGATATGATATTCCACTTGCATAAAAAAGAAAAATAACTAAAATAAGGATTTACAAAAATGCACACAATTACAAAAAACAAAAGTTACTACATAATAATTGAAATGATAGAAAATGAGACACTTAACCATAAAGGAACTGATAGACCACTAAAATTTTCCTTATCAGATAAAAAGTACTTTATTCTTTAAGATACGGGAGAAAAGCTTCACTCTTGCATCAGATCTAAAAAAAATCCACAGGTGTTTCTGTCCATCCTTCCACTGTGTGAAGACAACTCAGCACTGTTGAAGGTCTGTTTATGCTAACATCTAATAAGAAGCCACCCCAGAGCCCAGGCCCCTAAATCATTAAATGTGTTTGGGATTTTTGGTTAACGAGAAAAAACGTGCAATCAACTTCTAAGACTGAACTTGTGGTGTGGCTGCAGATTTCTTTGAGAAACGGAAAGTGAGTCACCTAAAAAGAATGGAAGCTGTAATAAAGGTAGAGTGAACGCTAAATACCGATTCTATTTAGTTGTTGGTTTGGACACTGAAAAATAAATAACTTGTACTCATTTATATTTGAAATTCAATAAAATAAGGGTAGTGGCTTTTGTACAGTACTGTATTTTCAAGATAATCCTTCTTATATAGATTTCATTGGCAGGAATCCTGAGTGTTATACCTGCCAGGCCTGCAGGTTGTAGATATCTGGACACTGCTGCTGCTTATCAGTGCTGCTCTCTTCCTTCTTGCACATTAGCAGGTTGTGCAGTGCGTGTGCTACTGCATATACAGCCTTGTGCATGTTATAGGTCACTCTGAGCTGAGACACATCATTATAGATAGTCTCAGTGTCCGCAATCTTCTCCTGTCCTGTACAGGTACGGTTGTAGTGGACAGGGTCAGCCATAGAATCAACTGGCATGCTTGTATTAAAGGAGCACTGAAACTGCGTTTCCCAGAATTCCTTGGCAGAGGGGTTATATGGGTCAGCCAATGGCTGCAGGCTGTGGAGGAACGTCCTGAGGCCAGGGATTTCAGCCCGGCGGATGGCAAAACCGATGGTGCCGCTGAAAGAGGGGTAATTAGTGGAGATGAGGGTGGACGTTATCCAGGCTTCACTGGCCACCCACTGTTTTCCCGTCACTTTCTGCCTGACCGTCTCCTCCACCACTGGCTGGATGTCCTCCTCAATGGCAAAGGCGACCAGTACATGTGCAGTGGAGTCTCGAATCGTCTTTACGATGTCTTGGAGCTGCAGCTGAGAAGGTAACTTTGGGATGATGACCCGGAAGGCCACGCACACGCCTAGGCGGGACACCTCTGCGGTGAACATGTCCAGGGCAGTTCGCCCATAAGCATCGTCGCCACCCATTGCGCCTACCCATGTCCAGCCAAAGTGTTTTACAAGGCGAGCGAGAGCGCTGGCCTGGTACGCGTCACTGGGAATTGTACGGAAGAAGTACGGAAACTTCTGCTTGTCACTCAGACAAGCACAGGAGGCAAAGTAACTAACCTGGGAGTGTTGGGGGGGGGTTGGGGTATATTGGGAAGAAGAAAACAGAGATACAGAATATTGCTTTTTCAATATTTAGGCAAAGCTATCAAGAAATACTGTCATAAAAAAACCTCACCAGTTCCCCTTTACATTATTTGATTTTATGATTTTTTACTCCCTCCTCCAATTTAGTCATTGCAAATTCCCACCCACATACAAAAACTGCCCCCAAGGCACAGTGCTCCCACCCTTTGGGGATGAGGGCCTGTTCTTCTCAAATTTGTATCCAAAGAAGGCTGAAGCACCAGCATGATTTAAACTCATGACTACTCTCTTGATGATCAAGCAGTTAAACAGTTGCACCACTCTGAAGCTATGACATCACAAAAAAGATGTAATAAAAAAAAAGGTTAATAACAATTTAAAAACGTTGCTCTCTGAATAATAAAATGTACTTATTTGCAATTTGCATAAGTAAATGTTCTTTATCTAAGCACAGGCAATGTTCTCTATTGAACATAAGGAACTATGTGAGCACAGGTCAACTGCTCTGATTAAAATGACCTCTTCTTTCATTCCCTAACTCAAATTTTATACTTTGTGACGCAGCTGTTTTGAATGCTGGCAATGCCACAGCTCTCTACACTCTCAGAAATAAAGGTATGAAACTGTCACTGGGGGCAGTACCCCTCTTGTCACTGGGGTGGAACCTTCAAGGGATCATCTCAGTACCTTTGATTAGGGAAAATAACTGAACCATAATCCACTGAAATGATATTTTCCAAGCTGTACTGACTCCACACACCCCGTCTCGCCTCCAGGCTTTTATTTTATGGTTCTGTTTTAAAACATCAGGTTATGAAATGCTACAAATATGTACGTTTTCACTGGAAAAACTTATTTAAGGTTCACAATTGGACCTCAGAACCTTTGAGGGCACATTTACATCGTTTGTACCTTGATGAATGAGAAATGTTCCTGCACAGAACCTTTATTTCTAACAGAGTATAGTCAGATATCTAAGAGGAAGAAGCTCTCACCACCCCTGAACCCCCCACCAGTGCACCTCTGCCCCAGAGTAGGGACACTATGTGATAGGGGACATCATAGCTTGTGGGTGGGAATTGGCGATGATTGAATTCAGGGGAGGATCTGATGAAGCGTGGAGGCAACCACAATTCTTGTGATTTTTTTAAGCTCATCTTACATCTTTTTGTTGACATAACTTAAGTTGCAGTATTGAAATTTTGTGCATTTTATTTAAGGTTGACTTAAAATTTCCAGTGGATTTTCACTGTGCAAAGTTTTCTCACCGGGAATTTTAAGACAGAGAGATAAAGAGAGAGAGAGTGAGAGAGAGTCGTTTCAACAGCACACACATTCGAGCACACAGTGCATGGCCATGTTTGTGTCTCACCAGCGGGACGCTGAACAGATTGAGCAGTCTGGAGATGGCCATAGACAGAGTGGATCCCGAGTCTCCTATGATCAGAGGGATGGTGGGGGACGAACACGCTCCAGTACTGTTCCTCTTCAGGGGCTGAGAGACCACCGACAAGGCTGTTCTCATAGACAGAGCCACCAGCCCGCATGTGTCATAGATCCTGTAGCCCAGTGTGATGTTGGGCAGCAGGTTAGGGTTTCTGTTGATCTCCTCTATGAAGTAGATCATGGACTGCGACCAGCGAAACACACGCAGGTTAAACCTGAAGCAGCAAGACATTCAAAGGCAGACCAGTCAATGGTATCTTTAAAACGCCTTTTTACAAACAGTCTCAGAAAAATATTAGTAAACTCTTAATGGAGTGGACTCTCAAGTCACTGGGATGGAAGCCTCAAGAACCTTGAGCTAGGGATCATCACTGCACTATATTGCAATAATATGTACACATATATATATATATATATATATGTATATATATATATATATATATATATACATATATCGCTGCTGTGAGAAAGTATCTGTGGTCCTTTACATTGTGTGTAAATTTCATGATGAATGGACCAACAGAAATGACCCAAAATGGCTTGGAGAAAAGTCTGGTTCCATTGACTTACATTAAAAGTAAAGTATGTTTTTTCCTTCTCCTGTAAAGTTGCCATTGTCGGATCAAGACCTCATATCTCCAAAATGGCAACTTTACAGGAGAAGGAAAAAACATACTTTACTTTTAATGTAAATCAATGGAACCAGACAAGTAATTTTGGGTCATTTCTGTTGGTCCATTCATCATGAAATTTACACACAATGTAAAGCCCAAGGCAATTTCAAATTATGTTAAAAACTGAAGAATGATACTGACTCCAGGCTTGTAAATTTAAAACCAGTTTTCAAGGTATGCAATTAGGCCTTAACATCACTGTTGTTCCTCACTGTACTGTGGATATAATCTGTTCATCAAAGGCTGCCGCACAAGCTTGTGTCCATGCCAGCTCAAGTGCCAGCTGTTATTAAAGGGGAATCCCACCATTTTTTCAACATTTGTGCATAATTACATGGTTAAGATGCAAACAAAGCCATTCAGAGTGGTCTGATGTGAAATGACCCATCAGAATTGTTCACAGTACTGGTAGTAGGAACCAGACATCTACCACTAAAAGACAAAATTTCATGGTAGTTTTGCTTTAAGGCCTAACATATACTCTTTTTAAACACCATTCACAGCAGAGAGATACATGTGGACTGCTGTAAGGCACTACAAAGTTTTCAGATTTATCACTATTTTATCATCATCAACATCACATATAAACACTCAGAAGACACATGCAGGTTCACTGGTGGTTTTGGATAGTAAATAAAATGGCTATTTTTGTGTTGTAGACATGGTGACCCCTGGTTCTTATCACCACCACTGTAAAGACATCCGAGTTTCTCTACAATCAACTACTTCACACCAAACCACTCTGAATGACTTTGTTTACATCTTAACCACTGAATAACACAGATATTTTGAAAAATCAGGGAAATTACCCTTTAGAGCAAAAGAGGGACATACAGTACCACACACTGAGAAATTCATGTAAATATTTCATAGATTCTCCTTGTAATTCAAATTGCTATGCTGATAATATCATTTGTAATGAAAAGCTGCCTTAAATTAAAAGAAAAGAATGCAATAAGTAAAAAGATGCATAATCACTAGCGGTTTCAGACCTTTGGATTCAGTGGGGTCCAAAAGTCTGAAACCACTAGTGAAAAGGCTTCGATTTTGCATTATTTTCTAACATAAACACACATTTTTTTTCATTACAAATGATATATACTTGCTGTTTACAGGCTCTCTTTTAATTAATCTCTCTAACTGGTCTGAATCATCTTCTAGATTATAGATGTTCGCTTAATTTTTATAAAAGCACTGATGATACCCAAGATAAAGTATATCACAATTTCTCTTATCACAATAACAGTGAAACATTATTACATTGCCCACCCCTACAGGCAAATTACATGGTCAGTACGGTATCTTTGATAAATATGATCAAGTGTGAAGCTTCTCCTGTGTACAGAACAGACACTGAACAATTACAGAAAGAACAAAGTGAATTTTAAACACTTTATCTCCAAATAACGTGTACACAGCCTGCGTATTTACATAATGGATCAGGTAGCTGGTGGAGCACATCAAAGCCAGTGAAGTAAAAGGGGGGCTTTAATCATTGGCAGCCCCTCAAAAGCAGGAGGTGTGCTTGCAAAATTCAGGAGCCAACACTCTTTACCCCCTGCATCTCCTCTTGCCTGGTGAACTGGTGAAGTTCAGCTGCTGCTCTATGCCCTTAGAGTGGATGGGGAACATTCCAGCCAGAATCACCTGGCCATCCTTATGGACCACCGCAGAGTCCAGGTCCTGCCAGCGGCCACAGTCGGCCTCGGAGGCACCACGTGTGGTGCAGTGGAGAGAAAGCAGCAGGGTCGCGACCTGGTGGAGCTGCATATCCTGATCGGCGAGTCACATCAGCGGTCCACTCAGCGTTTAGTATGCAGAGCTGTGATGACTGGAGAGTTTTATAGAGGCTGATTAATGAAAAGCACCTCTGTAGGGAAATTAAAGAGGGGGGCGAGTTATGCACAGAAGTGAAGACACGCATGCGTGTTTCATAGACACAAACACACAGAGCACACCTATGACAGAGCTCAACTCCTGCATGGTCAACTACTTCACTTTTGGGACTCTTCAAATGGAACAAAGACTAAAAACGCCCAAGTTGTAAAGTACTGCAAAGATCGAGGCAGCAATAGAATTATGTTTTAGAATGACTCAAACAAATCATTCAAATAAACCTGGCCGGATGGGCGGTTTCAGAGGAAGGACACTCAAGAGAATAAAAAAAACACTGTGGAGATTTTGATTACAGGCCAAATTAACCGTATCATGTGGGATGCGGCTATGCAGTTGAATTTGGTTAAAGTAGTTCAGTGTAAACTAGAAAAGTACATTTTCTTGACTGTGCAGCATAAAGCTAGCTAAAATGTTGCTACGCAGTTGCCATGGTATCCCAGGTCATTGCTAGGAGGTTGCTATGGCATCCCGAATGGTTGTTATGTGGTTGTTATGGCATCCCAGATGGTTGCTAGGGTGTTGCTAGACAATTGCTAGGGTATCCCACGTGGTTGCTACGGGATTCCTAGGTGGTTGTTGGTGGTTGCTATGGTGTCCTACATGGTAAATATGGTGTTGTCAATGGTCGTCATACTATAATGGGGGCACAAACTTTGGCACCACATTCATTCCTATGGGGAAAACTATTGTTATTTAATGATGATTGTTCAAAATTAAAATGCAGTACATTTTTACACTATTTGATTGTGCAGTCTTTCACAGAGTGGTGAACCCCTCCTCATCCTTACTTCTAAAAGACTCCGCCTCTCTGGGATGATCTTTTTATACCCAATCATGTTATTGACCTGTTGCCAATTTTTTTTTAGCATTACACAGCTTTACCAGCCCTTTGTTGCCCCCATCCCAACTTTTTGGAACATTTTGTTGGCATCAAATTCAAAATGGGCAAATATTTTTCAAAAAACAATGAAATTTCTCAGTTTCAACGTTTGATTTGTTGTCTTTGTACTATTTTCACTTAAATATAGGGTTTAAATGATTTGCACACCATTAAATTTTGTTTTTATATACATTTTGTTGTTGTACAAACCCACCGCAAGCTACTGATTTTTAAACATTTAATACTAAAATGATTAAGATCATGTTATTTCTCTGAGATTAGACGATGGTCCTTTCAGAATGCTGCCTTTTCCTAAAATTAAACAAGAGCCAAGAAGAAATCTGCTGCTGATTTCACTCTGTGGACCCAAGTAGCTGGTGCCGATCACAAAGTCTGTGAACAATTCAGCTTGCTGGAGAAATGCGTCAAACTCTGGTCAGAAATTGTTGTTAACAATGTAGAACACCTGCACTTTTTTATCAGGCCCAGTCATTTGCATGTTCTTCGACAATGTCTGGCTTTACACAGTGAAACTTTCAACTGGTTGTATGTTGTAAAATGCATGCAACTTAATTTCCATGTAACTTGACAGTTACACAAAGCAAGTCAGAAACAAAATCTCACGCAACACATTTGACTATTTCGCTATTTAGCCAAATTAGCTGCTCATATTTGTAGCATTCTCACTATATGAAGTGTTGTTTGCTCTTTATTGTTCATTTTTCCAGCTGTCACTGCCGTTCTTTTTATATTTACTGTATATATCTGTCTTTTAGCTATCTACGGTTCTTTACCACATATTTGACTTAAATCTGTTTGGCAGTTTAGACTCAACTGTTGTGGCCGAGTTTCAAATGATTTGCAGGATGCTTTACATTATGCAACTCAGTGGAACTTTAGTGTCATGTAAGTTTCAAGCAAAGTTGCATGAAAGTTTCACCATGCAAAACCAGCCTCAAATAAAAACCCATTAACATAAAGTGTCTTGACCGTTGGAGTTGGATGCACCAGAGTTTCATCCCAAACTGCTGAACTCCTGAAGGCAGTTTTAGAAAGGAACACCATAGCAAGCCAGAGAGCATTTAACAGACCACATTTCTGTGATTTATCACAATGGATAATGTGCAGATGTCTTTATTGACTATCACATCTGTATAAACATGTGTTGCTACAGGTAATTGATCAAATAAAGTTTATGTAGGTATTATATTTTTGAGGGTACCCTAGCTAACTTGCTCTATCACCATAGCCCAGCCTGGCTATTTGAACACCTACATTTAAAGAACTGCATTGCTTCCTTTAACATTTTCTGACATTCATAATAAAAGACATGCAGTTTTGATAGCAAGGATCATGGGAAATGTAAAGAGGGCATTAACCCTTAGGACCCAGAGACCACATATCCACATATCAGGACATTCAGCAGACCCACCCCTAACTAGCAAGCATGACATCATCGAGCTGTGACGTCAGCATCAGTGAGTAATTTGAAAATCACCTAAAATCCTGATATTATTGCTCTGCTTTTTGGCCTTTATATTCCAACAAAGAGATAAAACAGCAACAGGATTCACACATCAGATCATCATCAGACTCTGCTTCACCATCCAGAGTGTTTTCATCCACCTGTGATCATCCATCAGCCATAGATCCAGCTCCAAAATCACCCAAACCCACTCGCTACTGTTATATTACATCTCTGTTTTTAGCCTTCATATCATAAACAAAGAGTTTTCAGTTTATATTGATTTTGAGTATTAAAAA